TGTAAGCGAATCGCGATGATTTTTTTTAAAGGATCGCCCTGTATATTATTGCATTTTTGGCTTCCTTTACATGATCCTAAGATATGAGTAAATAGATTTCGGTAGTTTCAAAGATATTAATAAATAAATAAATAATGTACTTATTTTTTCAGCCTTTCTTAAAAAATTATTAAAAATACTTGTATCATTCTTCATTCTTCGAACAATAGATATATACAGGGTGTTTCAAAACAAATGCGAAAAACTTCAGGGGGCGATTCCTTGTTCAAAATAAAGGGTAGTTTGCTTCATAAACGTTGGGTCAAAAGTCAACCATTAGGGAGATATTGCGATACAAAGATGGCGGAAAAATAATGTTTTTATTTTTTATCTTGAAAACGAAAAGAGATAGACTAATAAAATTTTATGGAAGCATTACTGTTATGAAAACACACTTTCTGGTAATTTTTTCACTTTTTTAAAATGAGTGGAAGGGGTTCAAATAAACTACCCCTATCATTCTTGTTAACGAAATTTAAAGAAAAATCTTATCAAACACATGCAAAAAAATTAATTTGGATAGTTTAGTTTGTTTAGAAACTTTTTTATCTCTTGTATTTTTTTGATAAAACTCACCGATCTGAAATTAAAAAATAAAATGTAAAACATTACATGTCAGGACAAAAAACATTTTCTGATAAAGAATCTAGTGGGCTGCTGTAATTTTTTTAGGAAAAAATCTAGTCGGCCGCTGTTACTTTTTAGGATGTTCCTAATATTATTTTATTTGACATTACTCTACTGCAATACGTTATTATCTAGAAGATTATTATTATCGTTATTATCACTAGATTCTTAATCTAAAAATGTTTTTTGTCCTGACATGTAATGCTTTACATTTTATTTTTTAATTTCCAATCGGTGAGTTTTATCAAAAAAGCACAAGAGGTAAAAAAGTTTCTAAACAAACTAAACTAACCAAATTAAAGCATTTGCATGTGTTTGATAAGATTTTTCTTTAAATTTCGTTAACAAGAATGATAGGGGTAGTTTATTTCAACCCCTTCCACTCATTTTAAAAAAGTAAAAAATTATCTGAAAGTGTGTTTTCATAACAGTAATGCTTCCATAAAATTTCATTCGTCTATCTCTTTTCGTTTTCAAGATAAAAAATAAAAACATTATTTTTCGGCCATCTTTGTACCGCGATATCTCCCTAATGGTTGACTTTTGACCCAACGTTTATAAAGCAAACTACCCTTTATTTTGAACAAGGAATCACCCCCTAAAGTTTTTCGCATTTGTTTTGAAACACCCTGTATATATGTATATATATATTATATATATATATTTTTTTTTGAAAATTGCTGCCCACTCCCAAGAAACAATTTTCAAAAAAAAAAGATATTTACTTGAGATACTTTGTTGTACTTACTTTGCTATAAATGTCGTAATCTTAAATCATACAGGGTGTTCAAAATTATACGCCAAACTTTCTAAAATATAAAATAATTTTTGTTCGTTTTTTAAATGGAACACCCTGTAGATTATTTTTTTATTAGATGGAGAATAAAAATATGAACCTTTTTTGCATTATTACATATTTCAAAATTTTTAACGGTTTCACAGATACTCCCGATATTATTTCGTATGGCTCTTTCAACGGTAAGATACGAGAGAAAAATCATTGGGTGGCTTTCATAAAAATTTACTATGAAAAATGCCATATAAAATATAAAACCCCAAAATATCTGCGAAACCGTTAAAAATGTTGAAATAATCTAAACACAAACAATGTTCAGTTTTTAATTCTCCATCTATTAAACAAATCACATCCATTTAAAAAAATGAACAAGAATTAATTTATATTTTAGAAAGTTTGGCATAGTATTTTGAACACTCCTATATGATTTAAGAGTCCGATATTTATAGCAAAGTAAGTAATCCTAACAACCTAACCGTCTAAAGTAAATACCTAACATAGTTTCGATTTCACGACAGTTCTTGTATTTTTAATCATTTTTTCATTGTATTTTTAATCATTTTTATTTAATATATATTTTTACACACAACCCAACCCAACCCACCTTTAGTAGTTTTTGAGTTATGTTGTTTTCAATGTTCGATCACGAATTCAGCACCCAAAAAAAACAGAAGGAGTAGAAGAAATTAAAACGGGATAGGAACTTTTTAAGTAAAAATTTGACGTCTAGTATATTCACGCGTGACGCTGTCCGGTTCACATAGTTCATAAATAGTCTAAAATCTTGTAGAATCTTTTGTAAATTCGTATCATTCTTTTAATCCTTCCAAAGAAATAAAAATAGTCAAGTTGATTAAACTTGTTGATTAAAAATCCTAGGAATTAACCGTTATTATTAAATAAAAACGATAGTGAAACACAGACAATAAAAATGCGACACGGTGATACAATCGGATGACTCATTCGTCGCCATTGAGTAGCATAATTATTGTTTATCATTTGGAGGTCCCGAGCAGCATGCCGCGTTAAAAATTTGCGGCCAGCGAAAGTTTTGTCGGTAGAATTTGTGCTAATAGCTAAATTATTTAAATTTTTGCGTACATTTTGAAGTACGATGAGTCAGCTTTTAAAATTATGTTTGTATTTCATATTTGAATTGAAGTTATCGATTACAAAACAAAATATTTGCTTAGCTTGCGCTTTTGTTTACAACCTGAGAAGCTGATTTTTGCTGGATTGTAACTTTGTGGTATTTTATGGAACATGTAATTTCTATTTTTTTAGTTTTTGTCCAAATACCAAATATCCACCCATATATTTTTAGCCTACCATACCAATAGGTATGGTAGGCTATTAAGATCGGCAAAAAAAAAGTTTTTTTAATTTCACTCAAAATGAGTTATTTGGGTCATAAATGACCTAAATACAAAATATTTTCATAGTGTCTGTCTGTCTGTCCGTCTGTAACACGATAACTCAAAAACCGCTGAACCGATTTTAACCAAATTTGGCACAAAAATACTATAGCACCCGAGAATCTGGCCACTAGTTTTTGGTGGGGATGGGGGGTTGGTAAGGGGGTATGGGAGGGGGTTAAAAATTTTAAAAAATCGTAACTCCAAAATTACAGTAGCTGGTGAAACGCGGTTTTCAAATTAAGATTAGGAATAATATTTGCAACAAAATTTGTAATAACATCAAAATCAGTCAAGTCGCAGTTTTCGAGATATTCGGCGCCAATTTTCTTGTAATGAGCACGCCATAATAAGGTATAAACCAGTGGCGGATACAGGGGGGGGGCATGGGGCCCGGGCCCCCTCTAAAATCTGTAAATTAGGTTAAATATTAGACTTTTGAGTTAAAAATGGCGCCCTAAAAGGCATATTTGGCATTATTTTTTATTTGCCCCCCCCCCTAAAATAAATTTCTGTATCCGCCCCTGGTATAGACATTTTTTAATATTTATATTAACTTATTTACTTATTTTTATCTGCAGAATTGCTGCCGAAGTTTCCCGAATACAATTCGGACCACCCTGTATAGTATAAAAATGTAATAATATGGTTTTACTGAATTATCTACAATATTATAACTAAATTTCTCTCTATATTTATTTCTATGATATTTAATAAAATACTCGAGAGATTGCACTATTGTTAAAATTTTATTGTTAAGAAAGTGAATTTGTTATAAAGACTGAAAACTGGGTTGAGGTATATTTCAAACACAAAACTATTGTTTAAATTAAGTAAAAAAAGTAATAACTTTTACCAAATCGATAAACAATACACAATGAGCATTTGCTTTTGAAATAATAAAGAACACATTTTTGTTTTACTGTTTTATTAGCGATATTTGAAATTTGAACACCCAAATCGTTTATACCTAATAACTTTCTTGCGCCTGCCCCTGCGCCTGTTTTAGAAAAAGAAAACGAATTGAAAATATTTTAATAAAAAATAATTATTTTTGTTCTCTCCCGCTAAGTAAGTTAGTAAATTTGCAAGCTATTGAGGAAACAGAAAATGTACAAAAATAAATTGAAAATAGTATTTATATTAAAACAGCATTATATGTCACTTTTTCAAACATGTCCTTCAAATCCTTCAATTTAATAGCTGTTAGTAAGAAGTTTCATTTTAAATATGCGCACATAGTGCACACACTGTTTTTTTCCTTTATTTTTCTTTAATTCCTTTTGTTTAAAATACCCATTTTTTCAGAAATGACCTCATCACAAAGGGATAGATATTCTTTGTATTTTATATCTCCATTTTTGTTAAGAAATAGTAAATGTTTTAGCAATTTTATACTGTTTAGAGCTGTGTTATGGTAAATAGCATATTTTACTAGAATTTGAATACTTCATTAATAAATGTATTGTTTAAAGTGATTAAAATTTGACTGATAAGTGATTACTATGTGATTACTTCAAAATATTGTGAAAGAAAACTGTATAAAACTGAAAAAATGTAATCGAGTTATTTTATTAAATAAAAACAAAACAAATAAGAACAAAACACCACATACCAAAAAAATATAAAAAAGGGCTATTTCTTACTTTCTTTCAAGCTTCAAGAAACTTTCCGCATTTATTATTTATTATTATATATAAAAAATATTAGAAACTTTTTTTAGTAAAATAAATAGATTGGTATGAAACGTCATCTGCTTTTCTTCTGTCATCGTCTGTCGAAATTTTACCTGAGAGAAAAAAAAATACAGTATATAATCATCTATACCATGCGTTACTATTCTTAAAAGTTAGGTTTTTAACGACTTGATTTTCCAACAAGAAATCATTAATTTTTGGGCTCGCACCACTCTGGCACTTTGTGCCATTGTATCGGTTTTTTAATCGCGGTGCGATCCCTTTAGACTTTAGACACACATTTATTAATACTAATATTATTCTGTAAAACTTAATGGGGTCTAATAAAGAAATTTGAATTTGAATTAATTTTTATTTAGTGTTGTTACATTCTTATTCAGTACCATATTTATGTACCTATGTATTAATATTTCTTTTTTTTTGCAGGAGATGGTTCATGCCAAGGACCCTCCATCTTATTATTTACACAAATTGAGGACCTATTTGGATCCTAAAGCCTCTAGAAGTCATAGGGTAAGATAAGAATGTACTTCTATAGATATATACTTCTTAGTAGTTTAAAAAATATATTTTTTGATTGTTTTCCCATTTTCCAACAGCTGTCAAAATAATATAATAAAACAGGGAGCTATGCTACCTTCCTGTTGTGACGACTTTTCTGTCATTACCCAAATAGAATGAAAAAAGAATCCGTTGCTCAGGGTTAGAGGAAAGCTGGGTTCGTAGGTAAGGCTTCTGACTCACAGTGACTTTCTAATGTTGTTAAAAAATAAAAAAAATGATAATATGTAGGCTGCAGAGATTTTAATATTGATGTTAAGAATTCAAATAGGTATGGTCAAAGACAGTGAAAAGGGCGCCACTTACTTTGTTTATGAGAGTGGTAAAGTAAGAAACCAAAAAGAAAAATACGATATCACAACATAGCTAAAATAAAGTAATCAACAGCATTAAGGGTCTATTATGTTTATCAGGAATAAAGTCAGAAATAACTATCCTACATTAAACATTTATTGAAAACGAACACAAGTATCATCAATTAGTCACAGTGATCCCAATAAAACCGCAAGTTATTTTAAATAGATTCGAATTTAGTAACTGTATTCTTTGAACTAAGTAAGCTACTTAATATAAAAACAGGTGAAATTTATGTATGTCTCAATACGATGATGTTTCGAAACATGTCGTGTACAAAAACCTTTAAAATGAATACGTGTTAATAATTTTCATATAAAATATCATAGCTAAGTAAGAGTGTACTGTACGAATCAAATTATAACTTATAACGTTAAATAAAAAATAATTTTGACTACAATATGTTGGATAGATAGTGATAATTTACCAGGTTATTAAATATGTTGTCTCAAAAATTATAAAATAAAAGCGTACCTTGTGTATCAAACTTAAGACTTATCTGTATATAGTTTCTTATGATGTAAACAGGTAGTTAGGTATTCTCCAGACTAACAGAAGTGGATGCAGATGACTATGGCAGGAGAAGTCTTCGATATCAGCCAAAAGAATGATTGTAATGTCAGGAACACTGTCTTAAGGTCTGCATAGGTCCATACAAAATGAAAGTGGGTGAAACATACAATAATTACTGCATTATTACTGCATACCATGTGGTAATTACTGAGTACCATGTGGTAGTTACTGAGTACCATGTGGTAGTTACTGAGTACCATGTGGTAGTTACTCTATAAATAAAAAATAGTTCTCAGGACAGATACTCGATAAAAAAAACAACTTACGGTCTGAAAATCAGCTTTACATAAATATATTCAAACCATATTCCGATCCAAACCAGTAATTAAATACTCAAATAAACGAAATAAAAAACGGAAATAACTGAAATAGAATTTAGTTAGATATGGCTATATAAAATGGCGGATAAACTTACGGTGATCATTCCAAGAAGAAACCAAACAAATACGATCTATACTCTGGATTGCATACTTTACAAGGTTTTCAAATTTCCAAATCGGATACCCATGCAATGGAAATCGAAAAGTGGATTCAGAGTGCTTTTCACTGGAAAATTTGTCGGACGCCGAAACACGCGTCTTCTTCAGATCCAAATTCTCAGAAAGAAAGACCTTCTTCTCAGTTTCAGAACCGAAACAAAAAAAACCCTTTTCACCACAGACAAAATGAGAGAGAAAAAAGTGATATCATATGATTGAAATCATTAGAACAGAAAATCGCAATCCACAGCGAAGTGAGATTGGGACAAGTGAAATGCAATTAAGAAAGTTTGGCATATAACGAATAGATGGCGCTAATAAACAAGACAAGTGAACTGTAATAAATGAAGTTTGACATCTAGCAAATAGATGCGCTAATAAAAATTAAATATCGAGACAAGTGAGCTGTAACAAATGGAGTTTGGTATCTTTTGGCAAATAGATGGCGCCAATACTAAGAAATTTAAATAAAAATAGATTTTTAAATTCAATTTTATTAAAGGAAATAAAAAATGCTACACTGTCTTATTCTATTATTTTTTTATTCTTAAAAATTTTAAAAGATATTTTTCTAAAACAACTGGAATTTCGTAAACAATATTCAAAATTGTCTTATGCAGTTAAACATATTTTTCCTTACACAATATTATCCCCATCTACAGATAATATCTGTGTCATAGACGGTGGAATTATTGGGTATTATTGTTGTTTATTAAGTCATTTACTTTTATTATATGGCGTGATTAATATTGATAGTTTATTTACAAAAGTGAAACGCGACTATCGGTTATTTCAATCGGTTGCCGGTACTTGTGATCTAGAGTTGTCAACGTTGAATTATTACACCCGTCTAAGTTACCCTACGTAACACTATTTGTTTCACACCGCAACAATACGTGAGTCATTTAATACGTATTACGATATGTTCTATATTTTCTCCGGTACATTTATTGATGTCAATACATAATGTAAAATAATGATTAAGTTCCTAATTTAATTGGCGCCATCTAAACCGATATGACTGTTTTAACCTGCGGCGCGGCCACTGTATCCTAAAGGCCTGTATCCATTCGCAGGTTTTTGCTGAACGCTACAGACCGATTTGTCGGCCTGTACGTAAAGGCCGATCAACTTTTTGGCGTCTAGAAGCCGGAATTCTTAAATCTGTTCGTCTATTTCTTTTCTTTAGTTTATTTAGCAACATGTCTGAAAAGGAGGGCGATTGATGCCTAAAACATCATAGATTTGAATGTAAACCTATCTAAATGTTTGCCTACTACAATTTACCTATCCGGGATTTCCCGGAAATTCCGGACATCTGGCAACCCTAATTTGGAACGATCTACAATAAATGATGTGCAACTGGTCCGAATTGTGGCCAGAGAATTGCACCATAACGATGCCGGATAAGACTACCTTGTCCGTCATACCAGGCACCCTCTACTGTCTGTGGTCATGTATCACAGGCAGAGGGTGTATGTGTGTGGGGGGGGGGTCTTGGTTTGTAACCGCCCAGACCAAGAGGATACAATCTCACCAAAAACCTAAATCCTACGATGGCGACACCAGGTCAAAGGAATGCGTGGTTAGATAGAAGAATAGCCTTCAAAAAACCGGTTTCAACCTTGATATACCAGGGGGCAACCCATTGTATGCTCGTCTCCCTTACTTCTACATGCGGGGTTCTGTAGAAGCGGACCGACTAACCTACCAAGCAGAGATACTTGCCATAACCCTTGCGGTGTATCACCAGTTTTGCCAGAACTCCAATGTAAGTACGTCGAGTTAGCGAGTCATCAACTCGAGGGAGGAGGGATATGGTCAGGTCCTCACAATCGGAATTGATTTCAAATCCAAGGATTAGAGAAAGATATATTTATCTTCTATTAAAAGTTCAGGACAATTTCCGGTATTAGGTCTATGGACAGACCAAGTTAAAGAGGTGGATAAAATGGAGACTGATCCTCCAACCTCCACCTCAAGGGTACCTCAGTCGGAACTAAGTGTCAATCCAGGAAAAACTGAGTTAATGCTATTTACCATCAAATCTAAGGTGCCTGTTTTTGCGCTACCAAGACTCTACGGTACTACGCTGACATTATCATTCAAGGCTCTGTATTTAGGTACAATTTTTGACCCGAAACTAAACTAACGAACCAACGTAGAAGAATATAACCTAGTAAAAAGAATAAATAAATAAAAATATAGAATAATAAAAAATGCCTATGTTGCACTCTACATGTTTAAAAGAAATGATAGGTAAAAAGTGGGGACTCCAACCGAGTATGGCTAAATGGATATACATTGCCATAGTGCGACATATGGATCCCTGGTATGGTGGCCAGCTTTGGAGAAGACAACCAATATTTCCAAGCTTGGAAAAGTACAGGGAATGCGTGTGTGTGCATTACAGGAGCATTAAGATCGACGCTCACAGATACTCTAAAGGTGCTCTTCTAACGCGTCCCATTTTATTTTTATATTAAAAATCTAGCCTCTAGTAGTGCAATCAGGCTCAGAGAAATTGGTTGCTGGACGGAGAAACTCTACGGTCACATCAGTATTCTTGGAAGATTACCGAAGGATATTATTGCTGGACCATCAGATACTAGACTGGACTAGACTATCTGACACCTAGGTTGGAACTTGGCAAGAACTTTATAGTCAGAATTCCAATCAGAAAGGAGTGGGAGACTCACAAACTAGTGAAGGAATTTTATATTGCGCTATTTACTGACGGATCCAAGATGGATTCAGGTGTAGGTTCGGGAGTGTTCTCGGAAGGGTTTTGACATCGTAAGGTCTTACCGGCTTCCGGATAGAACAAGTATTTTCCAGGCAGAGATGGAAGGCCTGCGAATGGTTGAGCGAGGAGATACCTTATTGGCGAAAAACTGCAATAATCACTGACAGCCAAGCAGCCATGTCGGCGCTGAACTGAAAATAGTAAAAAAAAACGTCTATGGCGAACAGTAGATGAAAAACTTTAAGCACCTGCAGGACAGCCAGGAAGACTTGGCCCAAATACGACCGAACAAATCGGGACAGCTCATAACTAAGTCGCGTAAGGATATCGCTAGGCTTATACGGCGGTATATACGGAACACGGGCCAATTGGTGAACATGCGGCTAGAATGGGCATCCCTTTTAACGAAGTTTGCCGAAGCTGCAGGGACTGCATTTTCTGTGCCGCCAGTCCGTGTTTGTATAGGACCCCCGCAACTGTTTCCTCGGTGGTTACAGTTTTGTAAATCGTGAAGATGTTGCCGGGAAGAGCATAACGGAAGTCACCCGTCACCTTAATGCCACCGAATGGTTATAAACAGTTAACAGTCAAAAATCAAAACGGCAATTTTGCTAATTGGAGTTCGACAAGCGGTTGCACTCGCCACTTCAACCAACCAACCAACCTCATCTGGAGACTAGCTCCTCGACTGTAAAAGGCACGGAGGGCTAAACCCGGAAGGGTGTATACTCGTAAGAGGTAAATGTCCACTCCTTGGAGGATGAACAGCTGTTGTCAGAGGAGGATAGGAAGTACTCTTT